CACAAACGAAGAAAATTCGTGAAAATTGAAAATTTTGAAAATTGAAATGCAAGCTATGTGATACCACTATTAGAACAAAGTTCAGCTCTTCCATTAGGAATTGATGAACAATGTTATCCAAACTACAATTTTGACTGGAAAATTCAAAAGTTAAGACGTACTGTTGATACGTATTGCAATGATTCCGACGTATATGCCATTCGAATTTAAACGTTTGCAGTTCCCGGTGAGACTTGCCTTCGCAATAATTACCAACAAGGACAAGGGCAATCCATGCTTTTCACATGGGCAGCTCTATGTGGCCTGCTCGCGCGTCGAATAATGTTTTGATTTATTCGTTTACGAATATTGGAATATTGGAAAAATAAGAAACATTTTGTTCTTGGAGTTCATGTTTGTTGGCGAATTTTGTTGTTGAGCTCTGGGCTTGCGTTATTTCCCTATGGCCGTGGAGATGTTAACTTGGGACACACATTCACACATCACATCTATTGTGTATGTATTGATACAGAGGGATCTAAGAAGGTAACGGCTACGGTGCCGTCTGGTTGTCCCCCCACACATTCCTCTTCTTTTGTGCACTAATTTAGCGTCACTTCAGATTTGGCAGCGAGCTAGTGCGGTTCATAAAATCTCAATAAAAGTTTTCTTATATATCTGGTTTCTTGTGGGCACAATTTTATCTTAAAGATTTCCATAGGTTATGGGCCCAGTCACAATTGCAACGGAAAAATAATAGGAATACTTTGATTGTTGAAAAAAAACTAAGTTAAAGTGAATAAAAAAAAGTGAAAGCATATTATATGTCACTATCGAAATATAATTGCTGTAAGTGTTTGATTATTGTGTGATAGAAATTGCACAATATAACTATTTAATTTCACAAGATATGACGACTAATGCGACCAATTCGTCGCATAAAACTTTTTCATATATTTCCAGGAAGAAGCCAAGACGAATTCGCCGCAAAAAGTGTTCAAAATCCAAGAGTTTTTGAATTCGTCATTAGTTCTTTTCTTGCACCTCTTGTGCTGCTATTTAATGTTGCTGGATCGTGTTGCTGAACTATGTTGCTGGACCATGTTGCTGAACTGTGTTGCTGGACTTTATTGCTGAACTGTGTTGCTTGATTTCTTCGACGACCTTATAACCGAACTTATAGCATCAGGAGCAAAGCTAGACGAGATGGACAAAGTTTCCCATCTTCTCTAGATCAGGAGATAAAGCTTAAGAACTTAAACAAAGATACTGTTCACAATTTTAAGGAAAAGTTTAAAAATAAAGTAGGAGCAAAATTTGGAAAAAAAATAGACAAACCCTTTGTTAAGTCAAAAACCAAATGCTTTTATTGTGGAAAACCAGGCCATTACAAAAACGACCGCTTTCTTTTTAAAAGACAGGAAATTCAAAATTCATTTGAAAGTATTGGAAAGGAAAGGCAGGCTCAAATGTCAGCAGCAACAACAGCGGTGGTAGCACAGCCGGAGCGTTGCTTTTATGATGACAAATGCAACATCAAGCTCGAGCATGAATGAGGTTGAGTTTATCTTAGACTCAGGAGCATCGGATCATCTCATAAATGACATAGCTTTATTTTCCAACTATGAGCGTTTGCAATCGAATGTGGCTATAGAGATTGCCAAACGCGGAGAATATATTTCAATCTACAGCCAAAGGAGTGCTTCATCTTACCAGCTCTGGAAACCAAATTACCCTACAAAACGTGCTGTACTGTAAGGATATTCCTAACAATTTGCTCCTCGGTCAAAAAAATGCAGGATGCTGGGAAGACCATGGAGTTTAACCCAGAAGGCATAAAAGTTTCGAAAAAAGGCATTTTTGCATTTGCTGGATTTTGTGAGTACAATGTACCAATAATAAAATTTAAATTGAACAGTAAGGTATTTACTACTAGAATCCCAAATAGTGCTGAGTATTGATTGTGTCATGAACGATTGGGCCATAATCTTTTAAACAATGTTGAGTCAAATCATGCATTATCGTGAAGCTTATGTAAGTGGCAAGCAGTCTAGATTAAAATTTGAAAAATTTAAGAACAAGGAAAATATCCAACGACCTCTATTTGTGATCCACTCAGAAGTTTAGGGTCCAATTACACCACAAACCATATATAATAAAAACTATTATGTAGTTTTCATTGATCAGTATACACATTACTGTGTGACGTATTTGGTATCATATAAGTCGGATGTTTTTTTCGTTTTCAAAGATTTTGTGGCTACAAATTGAGGCTCATTTTAACTTAAAAGTTGTTAATTTGTATATTGATAATAGTAGGGAATAGTGTATGCACTAAATAAAGTGAGAAAACGAAAGATTGATGATAAGTCAATCAAAAATATACTTGTCGGGTATGAAGCAAATGGGTATAAATTGTGGAATGAGGAATCGAGGAAATTTATGACAGCTAGAGATGTTGTGGTGGATGAGATTAACATATTAAAATCAAGAGTTTTACAAGGAGAAGAATCTGTGGTTCAAATAATATATAATGTGGTACAACTATTGATTCTTTATATAGAGGAATTGGAGAGTTGGATTTTCCCTTGAGGAAGAGATTGAATCTGTTGATTCTGGATTAAATTTACAACTCAATGAAAATTCCACAAATCTTGAGAATGCCGATCCAGTTGGAACTGGTGATAAGTTAAAAGAAAATGAAAATGAAGAATAAATCATACGCAGTGAAAAACTTAGGTAAATTATCATATCGTTTTTTAGAGATATGTCTTATGAATACTCAAATATGCTTGAATGATATTCCAGTTATTTTTGACGAAATTAAGTTTCGTGATGACAGATCTTTATGGGAAGAAGCCATAAAAAGATGAACCTAACTCCCATATTGAAAATAATTCTTGGTCCTTAGTGCAACAGCCAAACAACAAAAACATAGTTGATTGTAAGTGGGTATTTAGCAAAAAACAAGATGAAAGCTAGACTTGTGGGCCGATGTTTTACCCAAGAGTATATGACTGACTATGATGAGACATTTGCACCAGTTGCACGAATCTCAAGTTTCAGATTTCTGTTAGCACTTTCAAATCAATATGATTTACTTGTCCATTATATGGACGTTAAATCTGTATTTCTAAATGGAACTCTAAAGGATGAAATCTACGTGAGTATTCCAAAAGGCTTTAACCAATTTTCTGAGAATAAAGTTTGTAAACTAAATAAAGCCATATATGGTCTTAAGCAAGCCGCTAGATGCTGGTTTGAAGACTTTGAAAATGTATTAAATGATGTTGGATTTCAACTAGCAGTTGACCGTTGTCTTTACATTTTAAATAATGGAGATATTTCAAGAAATATATATATTTTTTTATGTAGTAATTATTACAAAGGAATCTGAAACTATGTATATAATAGTTATTTTTGAAAATAACCAAGGCTGTATTAGTATTGCCAAGAATCCTACATGCCACAAAAGAACAAAGCACCTAGACATTAAATATCATTTTACTAGGGAACAAATTGAAAAGAAATTAATATCTGTAAAGTATATTTCCACAGATCTCCAACTCGCTGACATCTTGACGAAGCCGTTACCATCATCCAGATTCAGTATTTTAAGAGCCCAAATGGGACTTTTTGAATAACAGCAAACCAAAACGAAACTGTCCCCATGAACTAATTATTATATCTTAAAAAGTATTTGGGGGATTTTTAGGGTCTTAATTAATTAATTCGCTTTTTATTTTCGTGGCTGTGTAATATAGCTTTCCTATACTGAGTCAGTACGAAAGATTGTGTAGCTCCCTAATAAGCATTTCTTTTGTTTTCGTATGAGTATGGTCGCTTTTAGGTTTGTTTCGATGTCATCCCAACTGAGGAGTACATCGCGGACACTCAGCGCTTTTACTTGCCCAGCCTTTAATTTTGTCAATTTGTTCCAAGTAAGTACGGTCCGTATCTTGCTTGGTCTAATAATCAGGCTAACAAACGTAGCTGTTGAACTCTACTTAGGTGGAAAGTTGATGTACAAGGGCTAGTAGCTATTGTAAATTTAGGATTGTGTTTAAAGATGCTGGATTGCTAACGGTGGGACTTAGTGGCTCTGATGCGTTACCAGAATCCACAGCGTTGGTGCGATTATTGCTTTGGGAGCTAACTAATTGGGTTTCTCTGTTGTTTATATCGTTCCCCTTATCACAGTTAGCATGGACCCGCTCCTTAGCCCTAATCTGCCCCTAACTGTGGTAATAGTGGTGGTTTTTTATTTTAACATTTACAAGTATTGAGAATTGCATTGTTGTATTGTATTTATTATTTTATGTAAATAATCGCAAATAACTAATATATTTATGGATTTGTATGTAAAATAGTAATACTATGTAGGGTAGTAATTATATATACATATATGGATATAAATAATATTTATTTGTGTATATAGGGAAAATGTTGGTTGTGTATTAACTACACGGTTTTGTTTGCATATTAGTGCGATAACAGTAATACTAATAGTTATATTTGCAAATGTGTTTGTATATGTATATGTATCATAAAGTATATTTCGTATGTACGCCTTTCAAAGTAAAAGAAAACATGAGTTTTTTATGGATTTTATCGGCTTCAGCTGTACATATATGTACATATGTGATTTAGTAAATATTCGCTAGTATTTTAGAGGTCTGTGAAGTCGTGACAACAATAAAGGTTAAGTTGTTTGTAAATGTTTTGCCGCAGCAGGCACTCCTCCCCTGGCCAGAGAACCGATCACGGCTGACGGAATCGCATCTCATCGGCCGCAAGCCTAACGCTCACGGTTGCTGGCCGGATCGGGGCGTCGGTACCCGATGGCCAGTGACCTGGCTCGACTCCCCCACGATACACACAGAAAACAGAAGCCCGCCTCCCGCCGGCACATCCTTTTTCCTGCCTGTGAAGTTTATATTCTGGCCCGTAATTAGCATCCTTACAATATATATTTTTGATGCTGTCATATGTATTTTTAAATTGGATAACTAAGGAGCAACTATCAACCACAGAAATAGTTTTCGTTTATTGATTCAAACTGTCTACAATATTCTTGCGATAACAATTAAGGCTACATAAAGGTACTTTTGTGGTTGAGCAATTGTATGCTTTTCGGTTTTTGCAACCGTTGACGTGGCACAACTTTAGGAGAGGTGTTGTGCAATTGGTTTTTGCCATTTGGGGAAACTCTTGACCTGGTGGAACTATTAAATAGTTACCCTTAATGGCACTTATATAGGTTATTTTTGGATACAAGCATGTTTTTAAAGGTTTATTGCGAATCCAAGAACGGTGTTTGGTGCTCTCCTGTTTTTTAAGCAAGCGCTCCATCGTTTTTAGTTTGTCCTTTTCTCGCCTTTGATCCGCATGCAGTTTTCGTTTTTGTGATTTCAGTATAGCTTTTTGAATTTCCTCCGCCGTCTGTGGCTTTTCTCTTTCTTTGTAACCGGTTGGAAGAGCAATAAGCTTTTCAACGAAGCCACTTATATCCGTGTCCTGTGTTCGTTCATACAAAGCACGTTGACGAGCTGTCATAAATTTGGGGTCTTTGATTTTCTTTAGTTCCTCATCAACATCTTCTAGTTTTCCAGTTTCTATTGCAGTAAGCCATCGTTCTTCGTCACTGGAAGTACTACTATTTCGGAGTTTTTTAACTTTTTGTATACCAAGGTTTGGCGAAGAGACCACATTTTCTGATTTTTTTGTGCAAATATTTTTCGTGCCTACAAAAGGAATATGGTGGGTATTGGCATTGCACGCCTGTCTACCAGTTAAATTCGATAGGTGCAGCGACTTCGGGCTTTTGGAAAGATTTAATTCATAGTCTGAAAAGTAATAACTTTAAGTTTTAACACAATATAAACTAGAGATTAAAACACTGCAGTCGAAATTATTTTTTTTTCTGTTACTTCTACAGCCTGAAACAATTTCCCCTGCACTAGAAAAAATGTTGTCGTTGTGGCCGCAACGAAGTCTGTACATACATCAATAGGCAACCAAAATCACCAGCAGTCGCCGTTTTTCTGCTTCGATCTTGCAGTCGACGGCAGAAAAAAATGTAGTTTTAATTTTTGTGTTGATTGAAAGAAAAATCGACAAAAATGAACAACAATGCATTGCCAATTTTAAAAAGCTGACTTAAAATCGTTTTAAATTAAACTTACTGCAGTTTCTTAAACTCTGCTTGAAACTACTTTTATTACCTTCACTCAGCATCTTAAATTAAATGATACACTATAGGAAATGTTTAACACAGTGTGACCGTGAAAACAAAAACATACTATACACTATACTAAAATATACTTATATACCATTTTAATTTTTAACCATATACCATTTTTAATTTTTTAACTTCAAGTAGAGTGTGCGGATGTGTTATCGATTGATTTGTTTTAATACACTTAAGACCTGCTAGCACTTTAATAAGCTGTAAACAATTCTACTTTTTGATAATCCATTCTTTTTAGGTGAGAAAATTTGTCGATCGATTTCTTAAAATAAGAATAGATTTTTTCGCTCATCCAAAAAGATCGATTAAGTCGATTTAAAAATTGAATTGTGTACAGCTCTACACTATAACTGACTTATTAAGTTTTAGGGAAAACAAATTTAATATAAATAAGTTTGTTGATGCTGCGTCTTTAAAACACTATCGAATTTATTCAATAATTGTCGACTTTTATCCAGCTGCGCAGCAATAAAAAAGGTTCCGAAAGAGGTTCCAAGAGGGCGTCATGAAAATACCATACCTATAAAATATAAAGAAATAATCAATACGCTCTACATATATTTATTTAATCCGGAAATTTGAACCGAGAGGGGGGGCACCATGTAAGTTAAATTGGTTCTAGAAAGAGAAATTAAAAATATTTATAAACACTTTTTTACTTAAAACTATAAAACAATTCAAAATTATGAATTAAAATTTGTTATATCCCCTACCTATCTCTGTTCCAAATCCGGCCTCCGCTCTCTTTCTCTCATAATTTTGCCAGTAGCATGTAAGCGAAATAAGATAAAATAAATTAGTTACAAAAAGAACTCTCTTCCGACTGTACAAAATTCATGGTGATTCCAACGTGATTTCCAGGCATTTTTCATAATTTATATAAACAATCTTATACAGTGTACGTAAACTTGGAATCGGTCCAAAATACATAAGACAAGCCTGAAGCTCCCACCCGGGTCAAATCCCGCGACTATGAAATACCCATTACTTTTTTAGGCACAAAGCGCCACCTTTTGTCAAAAGAGCGTGTTTACCAACTGATGGTGACGATACTGTCCATGTGAGGCCCTATAAGCTAAATTTCTTCGTAAATAGCGAAATAAAGTTCCGATTTGACAAAAATATGTTATACAGGGTCAAACGAAGACATATTATAAAATATGGACTCCAAAGATTTCAGCTGTTTGTGGGCGTTAAAGAAGGCGTGGTCAGATGAAAACTTATATCGAGCTGCAGAGGCATCTATTAAATACGTATTCCCAAGCCTAACTTTCTATCTCGTATGGTTCCCGAGATTCTAGCGTTTTCGGTTTTCCGTGTTTTGTAGACGTTGAATGAAAATAAACAATTCGCATTGGGGCATCATAAAATAATACATGCCTAATGCCACATTTCTATCACTTATAGTTTTCGGAACATTAGCTGTGTAACCAAGAAGTTAATATAAATAGTGAACAGTTGTTTCCCCTTGTATTTGATTAAAAAATTGTCATTGTGAGATGGGTTCCCAGGCAATACAAAACACTAAAAGCAAAATTCACAAAATTTACATTTAATACTATATATGTACATATGTAAATGGCGACCTGCGTAGATGCGACGTGCGTGTTCTCTCGCTTGCCGAAGACGACTGCCTTTGCCCTCTTCCCGCTTTCGCTCTCGCTCCCACGCATCGTCCCAAAGTGCGAGAGCGATCAGCTGATCGCTCCCCGCTCCCAGCACAATGGGACAACCAGTAAACTTAACATGCCGCCCGCCAATGCTAGACCTAGCATGAGAAACCTTCGCTTGTCCGGTCCATCCTGGTTGTGGGGTAGAATCTAGTACGGGAGAGTAAACAAGAAGTGTGCGCAAGAAACAAGTTAATTATAATTGAGTTGCCTATGTGAGGGCGCTTATGATCGGATCGGCAGTGGACAAATTTTCGACACCGAACGCTTACACCACCCTTGCTTGCTTTTAAGCGTAACAACCCGAACCAACGTATCCGTCCCCGGGTGTAGCTCGACGACGAGCACCAGCAGCCATTGCGACGGCGGAAAACGGTCTTCCTTGATGATGACAAGGTCATCAAGCTGGAGTCCTGCAGCCTCGCGGCACTCAGCCTCTGCTGTAGATGTGCTAGCCAGTCCCGACTCCAAAAATGACGTACCATTGCCTGCTGGATAAGGAATTAGATTTTAGGCGAAACTCAGGAGAAGCATAACCCGAGTCACCAATCAAGAAATGAGCCGGCGTGAGCTCGTCTAGGTCGTCTGCGTCCGCTGTGAGTGGGCAAAGCGGCCGCGAGTTGAGACATGCTTCTATGCTTATAAGCACCGTAGCCAACTCCTCATAGGTGAGCCGTCGATCCGCAATGACTCTCTTCAAGTGATGTTTCACCGACTTCACGTTAGCTTCCCACAGCCCACCGAAATTGGGCGACTGCGGTGGATTGAAGTGCCACGTTGTCCGTTGTGAAGCGAGCTTGGGTGCTATAAGCTGATCGTAATCTTCTTGAAGCTTACCGTAGAACTTCTTCACTAGATTGTCCGCCCCCACAAAGTTGGTTCCGTTGTCACTGTAGAGGTGCTGAACCATCCCTCTCCTCCCAGTGAATCTGTCCAGCGCCAGCAAAAAAAGGTTCCGTCGTGAGGCCTGTCACCAAGAGGCCTGGATTCCAAATGCACTGCCTTTATTGCAAGGCAAATGAAAACGGCGATGCACTCCTTGTAGAGGCTGGTGCCTCGCAACCGTGCTGCATTGAGCTCTATAGCGCCTGTCTAGTCAACTCCCGTTGCAATGAATGGACGACTAGGGGGTTCACTCGATGAAGTGGCAAGTCCCCCGTAAGCTGAGCCGAAGCGCAGGGCTGTGCCCGGAAACACTGGACATTTCCGCACAACTCTTCGAACTGTCTGCCTTCCTGTCACTATCCAGAACCGCTGGAGTGTATGCGCTAAAGTCAGCTGCACACCTCCGTGCAGAGTCAAAACATGCGAGTGCTGTATTACCAGCTCAGTGAATTGATGGGAACTTGGAAGTATTATCGGAAGCCGGCGCTCATATTGCATGTTAGAATGGCGTAGTCGCCCCCTCACTCGCAGGATGGCTTCCGACGAGATCGGCGACAAGCTCAAGTGCTTACTTCGCGAAGGTAGTCGCTTACTATCTTTTACTGTAGCCAAATCCATTGGGAACGATTCCCGCTGCACGATGCGCACTATAGCCCCTGAAGCAAAGTCGAGCTCTTCAATGGTTAGGGGCCCGATGCGCGTCTCCCCCTTGCCGACAGCATTGTGCCTGAACAGCAACGCAAAGACCATGACTCGTACAGCCCGGTTGAAAGTGGAAAATCTAGTCGCCTTTGCCTCTAGTGCGGCATCGTTGGTGTCGACCAGCTCGAAGACGGCCAGTCACTCAGACTGCGTGTAAGCCACTCAGTGCCTCGCCACCACAAGCCAAAGCCCTTCAATTCACCCGGCTCCGTCCACGCACTCGAGCCTTAGGTAGAACGTGGCCGCGTGAATCTGAGCTGACACTGTGCATCCAGGAGAATAATGAATCCATCGGTCTCTGCTTATATCGTCGATCCTCAGCAATCCGTCCTGAAACGCTCGCCACCGTTCTACGAGGGCGTCAGGAACCTCGTCGTCCCACTCCATGCCCCCAATGAGTGTCATCCGCATGCACTTTATTTGCCATGGTTACCTCCATTAAGATCAGCTTTCCCACGATGATGACTGGTGCGATGAGACCCAGTGGATCGAACAGCTTAGCTATGCTCGATAGAATCTTCCGTTTGGTGAACCTAGCTGGAATCTCAAAATTGACCTGAAATTTAAAACAGTCCTTATTCGGGAGCCAATACATCCCTAACGCCTTGATAGGATCCGTAGTGTCCCAGTTTAAAGGAGTCCGGCTGCACTGATGCTCCGCAGGAATCGAGAGCAAGAGACTGGACTCGTTGCTGGACCATTTTCGCAACTCCATGCACGCGGATTTTATCGCCCCCGATACTTGAGTCCGCTTCTCCCTTGCCTCCTCCAACGTGTGACCTCCGGAAAGAATGTCATCCACATATATTTCGCTCATCAACACCTCTTCCGCCTTGGGAAACGAACGGCGCTCGTCCTTCGTCAACTGCTGGATGACCCTGATGGCCGTGAATGGTGCAGACGCCGTCCCAAAGGCTAACGTTGACAAGGCGAAAACGCTGATGGACCCATCCGCCGCACGCCATAAAATCCGCTGGTATTGGGCGTCTTCCGGACGAAAATCTATACGACGATACCTCTTCTGGATATCCGCTACAAAAACGAAACGATATTTCCGCCAGTTCAGTATGACGTGCGACATGTCGTTTCGTCGAAAACGATTCTTTGTTTAAGCGATTGCGGGTCCTTCTTAAAGACAGCATGATGTGGCAGCACGCAGGAAGCCACATGCCCATCTGTAGAAGTACGCATCAGCGAACTGCTTGAGGGCAAAGTACTCCTCGACCTCCTCGACATATTTGCTCCTCCGCTCCGGACTGCTCGACAGGCGCCGTTCCAACTGCAAGAACCTATTCAGGGTAACACGTAACCGTAACACGTAACAGCCATCCGATCAACGAATATGTGTATTGTGAAAAAAGGCTTCGTACCAGGGGCGCCCCTCCGATGTTAAGGAACGGTCCAGAGCGGCCTCCACCTCGCAGAAACGCGTGAGCAATGCCTCGGTGTCCAAGAGCACCCGATGACAGCTTACCTTGGTCGCTTCCCGCACTCCGTCCGCCAAAACAGATAGGATCATCCCAAGGTGAGTGTTCTGAGATATAGGCTTGCCGGGCAGCCCGATCCTGGTGTCCGGCCAACAGGTCCACACTTAAGATGAGGTCGACTCGCTACGATCGTGAGAAGTTCGGATCCGCCAGCGGGAGCCCTCGCATATGGTCCCAACGCTGAGGCATGAAGCTGCGACAAGGAATACAGGAAGTAACCGAATTAAGGACATACGCGGAATCAACGTCTACTGAAAAGTCAGGGTTAACATTACTACGGATTTCAAAATTGAGAGTATACTATACGACCGCCCCCAAGAC